CGTATTTGCTAAGACGTTTTTTATATTTGTAGCGATATAGCCTCTACACTGTCAGAAGTTAAAAATCCTAAATTAAATTTCCCAATTAAATTTAATTAAATTTCCAATTACTCACCATTCCCGCATCCTAAAATGAGCAATTTACGGTGAAGCAGCAGAAGATAAAAATAATAATTAACAGTATTAATGAGTATAGAGTTGAGTTCATACCGGCACATTAGGGTAATTATAATCTTATTCCTTTATGGGCATGGGTAGAATGGAGGAATTGATGTGATTCATATTTATTACGTGGCAATGTGCCTGAATAAATATCTTACGCCGAGCTTGGGCCAGAGAAATATGAGGACTTGCATAAACGGCTTCAATGGATACAAGAATGTGCTAGAAAGCTGTTAGGAGTGCCTCCATTCCCACAATGAGTCATCGCACACAAAGGCGCCGTGAACTACCACGCTGTCAGGACTGTGGCTCTCATCTGTTGTTATTAGACGATGTCCCGGATAATGTGTCATCAAGCAATAAATAAATACGCCACTGATTATACGCAGCCCTTTTGTGAGAGTGACTTGCTTTGTGTGAATACACTCTTGCTCATGGTCGACTGCTTTCTCTTCCTCTCTCATGCTGGCTCTGGGCACAGCAGTCAGTCTAGCTCACAGTTCCTGCTAATAACAATTACCAGGCGCGGGTCATAACAAGTTTACGAGGCAATTTCTCATCTACAATGGCTGATAAATACGTTGACTTTAAACAACTTTTGCAGCAGCAGAAGCTGAAGCTGATGAAAGCGCCCACTTTTAAGGTATTCAACTCATCCACGGGCTAATCAAATTCTGCTGGTAGTTCAAAACTCGTCGATCATGTCGCCGGCAGCATCATTGAATTCCTATATGACCCTAGAGCCCAGATTAATTTTGATTCCTTGTACAAACAATACGAGGAATTGTTCTCTGTCTATTTGGCTGCCCAAGATGATGCATGCAAGGCGCCACTCTTACTCCGTAAAGTGGGTCCTGTCAAGCGCAAATGATATGCCAACTTACCCCTTCCTAAGAACCCACAATAAATTTCTTTCGAGGAAACCTTGAAAACATCGTCGCAGACTTTTGGTGAGTAGTCATGCCTGTTCAACACTCTACTCCAGTGCCGCCAATTGTGCAAACGGAGATCTGATGGTTTCATCGCATACAACGACATTGTCATTTGTGAATGTGGGCGTTTTCAGCCTGGTCCTCTCATAGAAGACCAGTTTAAATGCCTCATATTCACCTGCGTTCTCCAGCCCCCAAGGGTGCCGATATCTCAACACATCGTCTGTTCCATGTGCGACAGAGCAACTCAGTCACACTCCAAGAACTGGCTGCCGAGTGTCAAGCACTGATCAATATAACATACGATTCAGCCATTACTCAAGGCAATTATACTGCTTGCTTAGGTCATAGGGTCGTGGTAGAATAGCCACATCCACTTATACGGCTAAAGATATCGCAGGGGGTTAAGTGAGTCAAACCTAGCAACTGCGATCTTCAGACCATGGTTACTTAGTGCGGGAGCGAAGTCGGTGAAGGCCAGAGTAGTGGGAAGAATGTATTGTGTACGCAAGGGAAAGGAGAATAGATGGAAGAAGTTTGACTTGGGAGGCCACGTCCGCTCAGAAGATTGACCGCGTCCCAAGTTACTGTATGAGAGCAGTTAGGCAGTAGACAGAGAGAGCGCTTTCATTGGCTATGTCGGCCTGTGATTGGTTGGACGACGTGTTGTTTGACACAGTTGTTGGACAGTGTGTGGGTGGTCATCTTGGTGGGCGATCCAGACAGATTGAAGTCACGACAGGAAGACCAGACATCGGAAGGTAACGACCCACTACAAAGCAACCCCCAAGGCGAAATCACCGCCCTCTCCTTGTCGGCACTCTGGCGCATGGAATTTTCATCTGGATTATACATAGCGCCAACATCGTTGCCAGAGCTGCAACCAGATGGGGTATTGTGATGGGATCCGTCAATCATCAGCTTGTGTAAGCAAACCTCCCTCCACCAATTCCAATCAAAAAACACCGTTTCAGATCAAAACACAAATCTAAACCGCAATCTTTTGGCAATTCTCTGGGTCTGTGGGAAAAATTCCAAATCAATACAGCTGACGGCCGGAAGCTAGTTAATATATTTCTCAACGGTCACTCAGTTTGCTGACAAATAGAGACTGCTTCAGAGAGATTTTGGCAGTCACTTGGCACCCCCAGGATGCAACATAGTTCTCGGTCCACCACAAGTGCGTGTGGAGGGTCTTGTCCCTGTACTGGGTAACTGTCATGCTGTGTTTCTTTCCGTAGCACTAACATCACTGCTACTTGCTACATCACCAAGTCTTATCTCAACATACTTGGTCTTGACTGCGTTGAAAAATTTGACTTGGTTGATTTACCGCTCCAACTTGTTTGCAATCAAACGCAGATTCCTGCTGTACCTGCAGACCCCGCCAAGGACATTCCCCAGCGGTTTGCTCCAGTGTTCCAAAATGGCCTGCTCCGTTGCAAACATACACAAGCTATGCTGCACCTTTGTCCTGCAAGTCAACCAGTCTTACGCACGAAGAAGGCCGAGATGTCACCGCCTATGTACGCCTTGTGTGAGTCCCCAAGGAAGAACACGACAAGAAGAGGGTAACAGCAGAAGTCTCTGGGCGCAATTAGTACAACATCTTTAAGGTAACAAACGTGTGTAAAGCTATGTCCATCGAGCCAATCAGCTTCTGTCCTGGCATGGATAGCGCTGCGATTGGCTTGTGACTCAACTGCTAACTGCAGCTTAAATTTTGAATTATTGATTGATTGACTGCCAGTCGGTGTTGGAAACATGTAGACCGATCGATAGCCTGCTGTGGGCGCGGCTGATTGCTGCATGCTATCTGCCTGTTAGGCCTGTCCTAACACTCCCCCCTTTT